AAGAACTTAATTTTCTGCAAAGCCACAAAGGAACAAAACTGTATGAAATACAGCTTGGTCCTCTCACTACAACCTAAAAAACAGAAGAATAAAAATAAACAGGGACATGGTTTTAAATAACCCTGGCAAGCTGAGGACCTTTTCGAATCTGAGAAAATGAGGGATGCTTTTTAACCAGGGGCTGTATGCATTAGTATGACAGTGCAGAACACTGAACACAAAAATAGGACTCAAAAGAATCGCTGACAAACTGAATCAGAAGCTATAACTGTTGCTGCATTAAAAGGATGTTCTTCATAATATTAATGGGAGAGGGCCATGAACAAACCATCAGGAAACATGGCCATTGGGAATCTCATTAAAGGGAATTAGTCCCAATCAGCTTCAAAAAAGCATTTCTATCTAGGATTGCATGCTTGGCCCTGCTGACAGATTTACTGTGACAGGCTCTGAGGGGTTGCACAGTCCCAATCGTAAAAGAGTGGAGGGACTAGACAGCTCATCTGAGAATCTGTGGGAATGTTACATAATGTAGTTTAAAGAGACAGTGCTTCCAGGTTGTGAAGGAGGATATGGTGTTCAAACAGCTTTCATTGTAGGTCACTTAGTTACAGCCAGGTATTTCTCAATTTAGTCTTATTTACAAGTCCTTCAGCCTCAAGAGGTTAAAAAAACTGGTTAAAAAAAAACAACTTTATCATGGTTTAATAAAGGAACCCTCAGTACATACATACTGTACATATACACAAGGATGAATGCAAATGTGTGGTGCTTCATATTTTTTTTAAGCGCTTTTCCCACTGTGGAGATATTTTTTTTATTTTTTTTTGTGTTTATGCCATATAACTGATAGAACTACCCATCTGTTATCCCTGCAGTTGGTTTTAGAGTGATGTCCTTTGAAGTTTCTTTCTTTGTGGTGTAGTCAGAGTGAAACGGAACTGCATTAATGTAGAAGTTTGTATAAACATAGTCTGAAACTAGAAATTATTTTAAAACATGCTTACAATACAGATAGAGACAGATATGTTGATATGTTTCGTTTTCTCTATCATCTTAGCTTCAGTATATTTACCCTTCTCGTGGTGGATGCCATGCCCTTTAGCTCTGAACCAGCTCAGCAAGGATTTCTCAGGAGGCTGTGCAAATCTGGATGGAAGAGTTTTAAGCCAAAGCTTCAGAGAACTCCCATCTTCCCATGAAATAGTGTCCCCAAAGGCTGGAAATTCTCTTCCATGCCTTGCCTTTAGCTTTTGGTAAATGCTGCAATTTGCAGGGAAACACTAACAAAAAGAGAAGCTTGAATGCTTATAGAGGCTGATTTCATGGCATTAGCACTGGAAGGAGGTTTGTAACATCCAGTTAAAGTTGTTTGATTTCATATTGAATGGTGAAATACAAAGCAGAGGGCACCATATACATAAAAGTACATTTAAAACTTAGAAACGTGAGTTGATTCTGCTACTAAAAGGCTTGTGGGAGTCTGGAATTAGCTATCCCTTCTATGTTGTTCAAGACAATATACTGGTTTCTTTCAAGAAATGGCAGGATGAGCTCTTTGAATCAAGTAAATGCTAAACCCCAAACAGGAGATAATCTGACTGGACACTTCTCACCTTCTCTCCTCTTTCTTATGTTCTTAATGTTCATTGGTATATTAGTTTCTATCCCAAAGGATAATAAGGTGCCTCACATATACAGTAGCAGGGAACCAACTTCATCCACAACTGAAGTGTTGCACCTACCTGTGTAGTGTGTGGCAGCTACAGTATTCTGCACAGTTAGCAGCCCCACTATACAGGTGATTAAGTCTGCAAGAAGAATTTTGCAATTGTTACTGAAATTCTTTTGCCACGTTTATGCCCTGTCCAACACCTTCTATAAATCTTTTTTAAATGTTCTGCTCCTACTTTAGTGTTAACAACATCCACTAAATTTGACCTCCTGCAAACTCCAACTTTGCCTCTGTTGGTACTATGACCAACAATTCGAAGACTTGCTCTTAATAATGTTCCTTTTTAGATTAAAGGAGCCTGCTTTTTTGAAGTTGGATAATTCGATGCATCAAGGAAGAACACATGACAATTTAATTTATCAGACAATATTTCTGTTTTTGCCGTTTAAACGCTGCTGTCAGGAGGACACTCATTTATTTATATTATATCAGTTAGTGTTCTTTAGTGCAAGACTGTTTAGTGCTTCTAACATGAAGACTCAAAATGCTTCAGAGATCGCATTAGACACTCCAAAATGTAAAAGACACATAAATTAATTTTAAATCACATTTGTAATGAGCCATTATCAATTAGCTGCACAACAAACAAAATATATTGAAATTGCAGGGCTGAATTCAGTTTCTGTGCAACTAGTTATTAAACAACTTTAGAACACAAAACATTCCGACAGATTACAAACGAGAGAAGTCCTTTAGGACCATTCTAGCACATTCAGTTACTATCATATACAGTAATGCATTCAAAGACCTCATTCATCCTCCCCTCAAAATAACCATCTTCAACAAGGCTGGGTATATTGTTCCAGACTCCCCGAAATACACTGTGTAAAAAAATTCACCTCCCCTTGTTTTCATATTTTGTTCTCTGGTTAAGTGATACACTGTTGACTTTCATTGCTTCCTTTGAACATTCAGAATATTTGAATCAGGTCCCATTGTGAGTCTTATCAGTTCAGGTCTACAGAGATTTGACCTATCAATGCACAATATTCCTTTAAGCCCGGGAATGTACCTGGTCACTCTTTTTTTACTGATTCTGGAGCAGAAATATATTTTTCGTAAGTTATCTATTATCAGCATGGTGATCGAAATTGAACACAATATTCTACAGAAGGTTTTACTTGTGCATTGTACAGGTTTAAAGGGGGAACTGCAGTCCCAATTTCTCAGACTACTTATTCAATATTGGTAATAAAATAAATTAATTGATGGTAGTTTAGAAATGATAAATTAAGCACAAACTTTGTGAAAGCACTGTATAGCCCATGTTTACAGGAGCTCCCCTTCCTGCTCACTAGTCATTGGTAATGACTAATGTAATGAGATGTACAGTATGAGCAAACAAGTAAAGGTTCTGAACCAGACATTTCACCACAAAAATGTTCCAAAGTGATTTACTTGCAGAGTAAGATTGTTGGCAAAACCATCTCGAAGTCGAGAGCAATATTTGTACTGGATTAAGAGATGACCAAATTCATTGAGAAATGTATTCACGAGCATGTTAGGGCCTCTTCACCTCACCAGAAGTTTGGCTGCCTCATTCTGAATCGCAAACGTTTTACAGGTTAGTCTGTACATTTTACTTTGTGGTTTGAAGTGCACTCTTTCTATTCTTTCTAACCACAAAATATAAAAATAGCATTGCATTTCCCCATTACGTTTCCCTTGATATACATTTTTAACTTTTAACTATAACCTATCATTATCATACGTCCCTACATTCCCTAGAGAAGTGTTAAAATAAATACCAAAGTCTTTTTAATAACTATCTTTTTTAAATTGTGATATCTAATATCTGATCTTTCAATTCATTGTACTCCTGTTGTTTATCTGGAAGTTGTGCTTTTTTAATCACCCTGTAAAAAGTGCTTCTTTTGTGTAGCTGAATTATTAAATCATCCGGGATACTGTTTTCTTTTCTGTGTGTCAAGTAAGATTATATTCAAAGTGCTGCCTGGAATGTCTACTGAGTTTATACACTGTAAATCCCATTTGATGTCTTTTAAACTCTTTCTTCTTCCTACATAGTCTACCTTCCAGAAATCATAAGCCTTCTATCACTACAGTTTCAAAGTATACTTCAAAGCATGTCAAATTATGATCACAGCATTCTAACAGTTCAGTACTCTCCTCTTTGAATTTAATGGTGTGCATTTATTAAAGTGTTTACAATGACTATAGGCCAAAAAGAATGTAGGCCAAGAAAGAACCTAAGACCACAAGAACTGTTTCAAACAAGAAGCAGAAATTTGGATCATCTTGCCCGTTTGTTACTTTAGTAGCACATCTTGTATTTTTCCAGCCATTTCCTCTTTTCATAAAATGGCTTTCATTTTCAGTACAAACAGCAAGGGGTTCTTTTAAAAACCTCTTTGCAATCTATACTGCAATTTACAAAGGTTTACAAAATACATCAGTACTATCTGAGGTTGAAGAGATTGATTGGCATAATTATTTAAAGTAGTTCAGGTGGGTAGCTGCATCAGCATGCGTAGGCTGCAAAGGAACAAGTAATAGGTTTATTCCATGCTGAAAAAAGAAGAATGAGAACACAACGTTTCGGCCGTGGAGCCTTCTTCAGGTGAGGAAGAAGTCACCTGAAGAAGGCTCCACGGCCGAAACGTTGTGTTCTCATTCTTCTTTTTTCAGCATGGAATAAACCTATTACTTGTTCCATAATTATTTAAATGCTTCTATAATACTTATTTTACAATAAAGTTAATAAACTGAAATTTAATATTAACATCATTAAACGCAATATTCCTTTACAATAACCTTTCACCTTTTGATTCTGAGGAGTAATTTGATTTGATCTATAAGAAAAAGATGAAACCACCATCAATGATTTGGTTAAGAGTAGGGCAAACATGTTAGTGTCAGATTATTATACTGAGCATTATTTGCTCCTTAATATTATTCTGAGACAGGTTTGCACATGGTTTCAGCGAGTTCAGCACTAGTTGCAGTGATCAGGACAATGTGTGTCATATGAACTCATGAACATTTCCTCATGAAGAGATATTGGGGATAGCAAAGCAGGTGCATTTTGAAAGAGCTTTCTCAAAAAGGCCTGATCTCAATCCAGTCATCACAGCAAGCCATGGTACACACTAAGTGTACACTGAGCAGAACTAAAGTTTACAGAACAAAATATCCAAAAGTGAAAGTATAAATCTCTGACTAAACAAGGAAAAGTATGGATGCAAACGTCAATGAAAGACACAGGTTTATAACAATGTATTGTTATGGGAAAGGTGACTTCGGCACTATCTTATTCTCTCGGGGGGTTTTGTGGTTATTTTGCTTTAGCAAAACGTGTAAAATATTTTTTTCCATCTCACAAAATGTGGTGTCCCCAGATCTCTAGGTTACATGGACTTCTTGCTGTAATGATCTCATACAGTACGTGTTGTGGTGCAATGCGGGGAGCGTCTGGTGTGGGAGGGTGGAGCCCCAGATTAAGGGAGAAGCGTTGCCGCGGAAACCACACCTGACGTGAATATGTGAATAAAAGGCAGGTGTAGAAGTGGTTTAAAACTAGCCTGAATAGGTTCTGGAAAAAGGGGGAAAGATTTTGTAGGACTGTAGTGTTGCTGTGGCTGTAGTGGAGAGAGGACGAATGCAGAGGCTTCGCGGTGAGAGAGTCGGGCTGAAGCATGACAGTAGCGGCTGTGAGATCTGAGACGCTACTACTTGGGGCGCTGTTAGAAGAGCGTGTCGCCGCGTATGAGTGAACAAAGACTTGATTACCAGCTGTAGTAACCCCGTGAGGGGGTGAAGAAGAACGACGATTACGGAGAGGATTGAGAGGGGAATAGCCTGCGAGGTAAAGAGTGAAAACGTCAACCTTCGAAGGCACTGACCGAAGAAACGGTGCTTTATGAGATCATCGAAAGATTTAAAGGGACCGCATCCTACTAGGGTGTGAGAGCAAGTCTGTCGTGCCCGCTGTAGCAGCGAGTTACGAGTTGATTAATGAGTTAGTATGTGGGCCAGAGTGGGTTGTGTGGTAGATGGATGCATGGTGTAACACAGTGGTGTCGGGAGAGGACATCAAGGCTGGAGGTGGACCTGGGAGTCTGAGGCACTGGTTGTGCGTGTCCTAATGGAGTAGGAGCAGGAGGCTCTGTGTTGGTGTTTGGGAACAGGAGATTCCTATTTTGAGGACAATGGGATGAACTTGTGACTATGAAGGCAAAGGGCCCAGACGTAACGGAATATGGAGTTGTGTATCCTGTTACCCCGAATTTGATCACCACTCAGAGGAGTGTGTGTAAGATAAAGAAAAGGAACCCAAAATAGTTTATAAAGGGGTGTGACAAGGAAGAATGAGAGCCTGACCACACCCAATATGGTATCTGCTACTCCCATGGCACCACAGTGTATAGAGCTATCCATCCACAGGACCTATTCTGGTCACTGGTCACATCCCACCAGGGTCTATTTTCCCAGAAGCCTAATTAACTTGGCCTAATTAAATTACTGGTAGGTACCAGCAGGTCTTTGGACTATAGGAGGAAATGCCCAACAGGGGGAGGACATACAAGCTCCACAAAGATAGCACCCCAGGAACAGTGAGGCAAGGAGCCACACTGCTACACATAGTAGGGGACCTATGTAATCAATTAAGCCACTTCTACATTAATCTAAAGACATGCATTCTTTATTTATGTGTATCAAGTAAAATACCCTTAATTTTAATTGGACAACTTTCATGAATTGCAAATGGAACAGTTAAAGTTCCACATGGTTTAATATTATCTGTGTATATATACCTGTATAAAATCAGATGGAACAGAGATACTGCTGTAGGAACACCAATAATTGAATAAAGACTATTATTTTAAAAAGGAATAAAGTAAACCTTTCTTTCAGTTTAATAAACTGTAAAATTACTATTACACACTAATGTAACATGGTTACTACAAACAAATATGAAAATATACCAAATAAAGCAAGCTTATGTAAATAATACATAAGTGGAGTACAGGAATGTTTTGGCTTGTTTTGCTCTGGATTGGCAAATCCTTGTCATACATACTGTAGTTGATTTGTCTCCTGTGCTTTGACCCATTCCTTTTGCTATTTTTTTTTAAGCTGGACACTTCATCTTCAAGGTGCAGTGATGATCTCTCTTCCATATTGTTGCAGGATCCAGAAAACATTTGAGCAATCAGGTTTTTATTTCCTTTTATAACTGATGGACACCAAATTACTGTAGCCAACAGTTTCTTAAAGGTTGTGCCAACGAATCAAGCAGTAGATTTCTCTTCTCGACTCAAAAATAATGAGTTCAACACAAACTAACTTCTTCTGACACCTAACAGCCACTATACAAATGTTTGTCTTACAAATTTCTCTTAAAAACCCATTAACCTGCACAAAGCCGTCTTCACTACAGTGAAGAAGCCTGCCTTAGTGATCTGCATAATTGAACTTCCTTCTTACTTTTAAGATCATGTGATCAAAATGCATTGGAAGGGATGTCACAAAAGTAATTAAAAAAAATGAAACCATTATGTCTTTTTAAAAAGCAAATAAAAGCAAATATTTTTTCTAGCTGTAAAAATAGTTATTTAAAAACATCCACAAAAGCACTTAAAAGACATTTGCATTGTCGTTAACTCATCTGCTCTGTTGTCATGTTTTGTAGTGTTCACCCATTTTGTTTATCATGTTAATCAGTGTATCATAAACTGCAATGATGTTCTTATTTTGTGTTCAGCACGATTTTCTATTCAGTACTCTTGAGGTAACAATGGATCTTAATGGGCAATATTCTTAATCTTGGGAACAATTTTCCTTATGCAAAATTTCTAAAGAGTTATTGGAAAAACAAACCACTTTCTTTTGACAGGCTATTCCCTCTAAGATCAGGTCATTAACTTAATGTACTTCCCTTCATTTTGCACTAAGATTCTATGATTCTAAGTTCATCTATTTGATAGTCATGCTGAATCCTGGAAAAACCATATTTTTATAGAACTAACCCAAATGTGTACAGTACGTCTCTCTCAGGTCAGTGACATAGAAATGATGACCACTAGGGGGCACTAATTTAGCAAGGTTTTCATCAACATACTGTATGACTGACCTCGAAGATCATTACATCAAATGCACAGGACATGAATGGCCTTTATAGGAGCACATGTAAAGCAGCCTTTTCTATTTATTTTGAAGACTTGAACATTATATTTCTTGACCAGTTGCTTCAGTTTTTTTTATTTCCAATTTTAACTTCCTGATTCTATTTTTTCTATGATAAAATAATTAATTCTTATTTAATCTGTTGTAAATAAAAATTCTACACAAAAATAAAGTAAAAGAAAGTAGGTTTTCAGAATGACCTGTGCTGCAAAGTGCCTCCCTGGCTTCAGACACAATATGAATTTTTGAGAAATAAAGATACTAGGTGGTAAGTACTCTAGTAGTGCTTAAACACGTACACACTAACAAAGGTCACCCTTGACGACGCCTACCAAAAATGGCAGAAGAGATTCCCTTTTTATAGCCCTCTTGAGGCGATGCTAAAAGATGACATGAGCGTTCTCAATAATGACAAGAGTCCCCTATCAAAAGAGATTATGCATTTATTATCTACAGTATTAGAGTTTCTTGGTACTCTTTTATCCCACTGGGTCTTCCTATTTTTCCAGATTTTTTCCTAATTTGTTTTCCCACAAATGTCAGCTTCCCCCAACACTCACAACTGCCAGACCCCACCCAAATAGTCCTTCCATTTTAATTGAATTTAAAAAGTTATTCCACAGACTAAAAAAATACTTTGCATGTGCACTGTCTGACCCAGTTACATTAGCAGAGTCTAGCTTTATGGCATTATAAACAAAAAGAAAATCATAAAGGATATCCTATATGCTCCATATGAGTAGATTTTCTGCAGTCCCTTATTCTTGTTCCAATTTAGACTTGAATTTCAGAAGGTAATCTACAAAAGTGCAAGTAGTTCTACTGCATACTCGGTAGCTTTTTACTAATAATGACCATTTTTTAGGGTTTTCACATGTACAGTTACTATATCATGACTGTGTGGGTGTTCTTGGATGAGACAGAAAGCCAGACCTTGAATATACAATAGCTGTATGTGTAACAAGTGACACCTGCAGCTGGTATAAATACAGGAACAGACGTCCATGTTTTCCTTTCCAGAACATTTGTAATATCCAGTTGGTCACAAAAGTTCAAAGCTGCTGTGGTTAATCTGCCTTCAGCTAACTCTGTCCAGGTCCCTATCCTCTCATCTATAGATGTCTAGGCCACAGGCTTTGAAGATTTGCTTTTACAATGTTGTTGTAGTGCTTGCATGTTCTTCCTTGTGGTCTATTCACTTGTACAGTATGCTGGCTATAGAGTACACCTTTGTGGATTGTGGTTTCTTCCATCATTAATACACAGCCCAGCAATGAAAGGCAGGCTTTCACCACCACATTTTCTATACTTTTGATGCATAACATCTCGCAAGTATATGTAAACTGGATATTTTTCTTGCTACTTGATGTGGCAGATGAATCGCAAGCAGTGCTGGTGAAACTATTACAGACGTTTCAGGAGACTTCAATAATTCATACTATAGGAAAGGCTAAAAACAAGAGCAGACCATTCAGTCCATCTCCAGTAACTCATTTGATATGTAGTAGATTATTGATCATGGGTCTCAAACACAGTTCCTGGAGTGCCCTGTGTTTTTGTCCCAACCTGAGCCATCAATTAAACAATTAACCTACTTACATTCTAAACTAGACACTTATAGTATTTTTGTTAAGATCCTTGACAGTTTATTAAGCAGGAAATTCACTTAATTACATGTACAATTACCTATGAATTATTTCAGAGTCTGGTCAGAGGCATCAAAATGATGTGCTGTAGCTAATTAAATAATTTGACCAACTATGTAACTGAGAACCCAAATGAACAGGCACCAGACCCTTCAGGACTCAGGGATCTGGGTTTGAGACGCCAGTTATTGATCCAAGGATCTCATAGCTAATGAGTTAGCTATAAGTCAGGGCAGTGGTCTTAGTGTTCAAGTTCGTAATCACAAGCAAATTAATTTCAGTTTTCTATTTGGGGCATATTTACAATTTAGCTTTCAAATCTTAAAAGGTCAAATGAGATTTGTAATGGGTATCAACCCTGTACCAGTTACTGAGTTTCAGAAATGCCTCCATTCTCATTCAGGTGAAATGATATGTAACCAATTGGACCTATTTGTCATAGTTTGATCAAATAATAGATAATTAGTCAGAAATAACAGCCAGCAAGCTGAAGAGAGGTTGCATAAAGTTCTGGGTGCTGAAGTTGTTGAAAATAGTACCCCTGAAGTAGGGTTTTCTTGACACTTGGGACTGACCGAAGAAACAAGTTAAAAGAAAGTCTAATTAAACAAGTAGGTCAATTGAACTGATCATTAACACCTAAGGTTTAGAGAGAGCTCAGCCAGAGTGTAAAGCAACAAACAGTGTTCATCCAGAACCAGAACCACTCAGCAAATGGCTTCCACAGCATGTCAAAGTAACATGTTCCATATTCCCACAACACACAACATAAAGCACTGCCTTCTGTCCTCAGTTTTAAATGCATTTGATGCATTTCAATTGCTTCCTCTTATGTCTTCTGATTTATGTTTTACTGTTTATTCTGAAAAAGTCTCCTGTGTTGCTCTTGTCCATGATCCATGTCCATATTTATATCTCAGATATCTCATATCATCAGATCTCATCTGATGATCTACAGTACATCCATACAATATTAAAAACAACAACACGACCTTTGCTGAAAGCCTGACTCCTTTCTCACTCCACAATTAAAGCTGCAAGCAATGAACTGGCCTTAGTAATGTGCTATGTAATACCATCAATGATGGTGGTGGCTTACACCATAAACTGCTGGAAGATTTGAGCAGGTACCATCAATAGAGACCACAGACAGGGTCAGCATGGTTCTTCATTTAAACAGGAGAAATCATTTTTGTGTTTTTTCAGGCTTGTGATGACACCAAACCAGAGCAAACTGGCTGGTGACGTATTGAATGTCTTCTAGGAAGTGAGTCATCAGCAAACAGCAGATCCCTGACCAGGAGTCCGAACATCATGGCAAGAGCTTTCAAGTGCCTCAGGCTGAAAAGCCTCCATCTGTGCAAAACATAACAATACACTGCAATAACAGCATCAGTAAATTTCCTGTAAACTGCCCAATGCATAGCAAATTAACTGATAGGTACTGTAGTTTGCTCATATGAAAATTTAGGCCCACTATTTTTGGGTAGCTTCAAGACTTCCTTCCACCTCTGGAACTTCAAAGATCCAATCTGCGGAATACATCATTCAGGATCTTTGGATAATTAAGAAGAAATACTTCAACTGTGAAGAGATCTCTATATTTCACTTAAAGTGTCATTACCTAAATGATTATTCTCCCTGAGTAGATACAATATAATTTCTCCATACATCCAATAGAGTTGTAATATACACAAGGAGAAGCAAGAATTTATGGAAGATACTGATGATCTTTAGCCTGAATTGGAGCGAGGCTTTATGATTGTACATTGTAAATAACCATTCTACAAAAACTTTCAAAAGACGTTTTTTAGAAATTATTTAAACTGCCTTTATTCATCTACGTTTAATCTGAATCATGAATACTAATTTTATAAGGTACTCATTATGTATGCACCACAAAACTATTTTTTGTATCTTATAATTCTGACTATCTAATAAATGCTGCGATCTAATCATGCTTTGATAATGTTAATGTACTTTGCTGTGCATAACTGAAGTCTGAAACCACAGTCCATGGAATCTTTCATACACAGAGTACAAATGTATCAGAGCCTTGTCAAAATAACCATTCAAATCAGTGTCAGAATACACAGCCAATGTGTGAAACGGCTATGTAATTTCACATTATAAAGGGTAAAAACAAAAAGGAAGAGCTATTACCAGAAAAAAATACCAGACTTCTGTTTTTTTCTAGGTTTCCTTAATTTTATGAAATGACTGAAGATGTTGAGATCTTCAAAATTTCCTTGACTTCCTTCAGTATGCTCATCACTCAGTGCTGTTGACCCTGTACAGTATATCCAACTCACAATGAAAAACACTTTAAAAAGAGTATTGAATACAAGATGCAAGATGGTCTATTTCATGTGAAAAAAATGTGAAAATGGATTTTCTTGACCGCTCTGTAATGTCCATTTAACCGTGTATGATGAATTTACAGGGGATTTACAGGGGTTGATGGTGAAATGACTTTTTAATACGAACTTTTGAATCCTAATTCCACAGAATCCTTCCTGAGGATGTACTCCAAGAAGACCTAGCAGTTGATCTTTTCAAAGACGTAGGTCTAAAATCCCTTTTTAGTAGGCCTCCTCGGTATTCTAACTTCAGTTCATTTTCTGTGGCCAATGGAAAATACAAGTGTTCAGAAACATATTCATTGTTTCTTCTCCATCCTTCTCCAAGGTAGTATTCTGAATAATAAAAAGGCTGGATAACCATCATCGGTTTCTAGGCAATGTGCTTTAAAAGCTATAAATAAATACTTTTAAGGCTATAAAATTGTTTTTTACAATTTGGCAGATTAATCATTATTGTATGTGCATAGTGTTATTCAAATAAAAACATGTGAGTTCTTTAGAACTCCCCTGATGAGTATCAGTCAATATAATCTAACTTTGTATAGTATCTATCAAGAAAAAAGCACAAATTGGTAAACACAAAATTTAATTAATAGAAATTGCTTGAATAAAGTGGGATAGTATTCAACAGGCTTGTCAGAAGATGTTCAGAAAATGACCATGAGTTAGACTATGCACCTCAGACTAAATTTGTACATTTTGTGTGCCACTGAATTTTTTTCAGTGACTGAAGCACAAAAAGCCTCAATGGGTAATGAAAACTTCAAACAGACTGCTGAAGTATGTATTCCTTGCTTTTAGAACTGCTTAACTTTCATTTCCTTCCTCAACATCAGGGCACAAATATTTGAGTCAAAAATGTTCAGTAAAATCAGCCTTTAAAAAGTGTAATACGTACTTCCATGCCAGTCCCTCTCATTTACAAAGATTCTCATAGAGGTCTTTCTCTGATAATGTTTTACTTACAATTCTTTTCCTCAAACTGTTTTGAAATTGATATTGTGGAAACAACTCAGTAAACCTTGGATTTATTTAATGGTTTTCTTTCCCAAATATTAAGAGAGAACAAAGCTTTAAAAAGGCTGTTCTGAGCCGCAATAATATTTTCGGTAATACAGCTTCTAGAAGCTTTGACCCATATTTCACATAGTAGGAGCTCAATCATAATCCCTTTTGAATGATTAAACGTCGAAGTCCCCCATTCCAGAGGCCTAACTAGAGCTCTGCATTAAAAATTCATAAAACACCGACTACTTTTGAACTGAGAAAATGCGTCATTCGTAAGCCTGTGTGTTCTGCTGTTTTTTTGCGATGTTGTTTTACCCCACACACACTGGATCAAGTCTGTACTGGCAGTTAATTTAAAACCTCTTAAAAAAACAGTGGGGGTATGCTGCAAGTTTAAATGAACAAACAAAACATATTAAAAAATCTGACAGAAAAATATCAGTGCCATCACCTGCAGCTGTATACATTGTGGCCAAAAAATTAAGAGAATGACATAAGCCTACACTGGTTCTGCATGTACAGTATGTGCACACTGTGCGGTGCCTGTTTGCTTGTTTTCTCACATTAGAAATAGTGAACAAGTCAGATTTCAAGGTCACGAATAGAAAAAATGATCAACATTTCCACTACCTTTTTGTTTACAATATTGTATTCTAGAAAGCCATTTACAGGTCTAATGAATATGCAGATGTCTCAATAAATCAAGCACGTCACCACTGAGTGACATCATTAGAATACTTCTCTGTTTACATTGTCTCATTCGAGGGATGGCACTGGTCCAAGGTATAGCAAATATTTGAAACAAAACCACAATAGCAGTTTTTACACAAACAAAACATTGTTCATGGGTTTCCCCTCTAGGCAAGGAAAGCACCACAAGAAGGAAAAAAATGGTTTCTTTCAATTTTTCAGTTGGCAACCGTCAGTTCAACAAATTTATTTAACCACACTTCTACACTCATATCCTCGAATGCACACGTTGATAACACCAGCATCAACAGCTACTCTGGAACTTTTGCTGACCACAGAAAACACAGGAAATTAGATTCTAGGATTGAACTTCTCTCGCAAGCATGATACACATGACTTTAGTTTCCCAGACAGAACTGCTTGAAGCAATACTTGAAGTCTTTCCACACTGCAGCCTTTACTGGAATAATTCACAAAAGTGTCATGGAAGACAAAAGCATACCTGAAAGCTGACCTGTATGACTAATATAAACATCTTAAAATTGAATAACAATTTGACCTTTAAGAACATGAGTGACAACCATCTGGGTATAATACATAACAAGCCAAAGAAAGAGCAACAAACAGAACGGAAGAAACAACATTTAAGATGCTGATAACTAGGCAAATGTCCTGAGTTACACACCTTGTTTGCAGGAATGACTTAGTTCCCCAGAAGGCACCACTGACCATAAAAATGTATTACATGATGAAATATACAACTGACTTTATCACAATAAAACACTGTTTCAAACAAGACAATTATGAAAATTATAATACATACGTTTTACACTTTACTATATTTAAGAAAACCTGGACCTGAAAGTATGTCCGTAAATTATTTTAAACAATTCCTGTACAGTAAGCCCTTCGTTTAAGAGACAGTAGATGTTGTCTGTTAAATATGAAAAGGAGAATTTTGGCTATAAGATCAGAAATCTGGACCTCCCTCTCAACAAAGGACAAAGTTAGTCCAGGCAATAGACTTGGTTATTCTTATGAAATAGGACAAAACAGAAGAAATAAAAATAAAAAAGGACTTGTTAAACACATTTAATGTAAAACATTGTTAAAGTGCATGTACTGAACTGTGAATGCATCGTGGTTTGAAATTGAATAAAAGAGTGTATACAACATGACAAAAAACACAATTACAGTAATGTACACTTAAATGATACGTAAAAAAATTCAGTAAAATACAACAATAATAAAATATTAATAAATAACACCTTCAAATAGGTATAAAATATAAATATGAATGGCACTCTACAGAGATTGGGCAACTGATATAGGGGTAGGCAAATTGCTTTTATCATTTACTAAAATGCTTACAAATTGTAACCCTTTGTAAAAAGCAGAAATAACATAAATACCACATAGGTTTACATTTCAAAACTAACAGTGGTGCACTGTAGGGGAAGGGCAATTGCTTACGACAGGTATTATTTGTATTCCAAATGCTTCAGTAAATTATTATACATTGTATTTTCAATACATGAAAAGCGCTTTTATATTTATGATATAAAGACACAGGAATAGACTGTTGATTGCAATTGCTAAAAAATAAGTCAAAAGATCCAGAATATATGTATACAGTGTATATGTTTCTCATATAATTGTGTTTTACACTGTAAAAACACCATAAGTGGTTTAACGGACATTCAGAAATAACAGACACCACTTCTCACTTTTAGTCCTTTAAACCAAGGGTTTACTGTATTACAGTTCTACTATTCAGATTTTCTGTATAAAAACAAAAAAGCGACATAAGTTGGAAGCATCACCTAGACTGAGATGTTTAGAGACCAAATGTTGAAAATGCAGTGAAATGCTGAGTTTAAAATCTAAGAAAAACACATGCCCAAAGAATACTTTACCACTCCAGATAACTACACACATTGCAGTGATCTATATTATAATTATCTAATCTAACAAAGTCACATTGAATGGGGAAGGTATGATTCAGATTTGATCAGATTAATTTTAATGACTCCCCTTCCCTTTACATCCATTCATTTTCTAACCTCATCCAATTCAGCATCATGGGGGAGCTGGAGACTATCACAGCCACAAGGCAGGATACACCCTGGATGGGACACCAGTCTATCACAGTGCACTCAAGAGACACGCACATACTCGCACCAGGGCCACTTTTCTCAGAAGCCAATTAAGCTACCAGTATGTTTTTGGGTTGTAGGATACTATGCTTGATCTTAGCCAAAAGGCCAAGATGTTTTTGGACTGTGGGAGGAAACCAGAGCACCTGCAGGAAACCCACACAAACACAGGGAGAACATGCTAACTCTATGCAGATAGCACCCCAGGTCCAGAATTAAACCCAGGGCTTCAGCACTGCAAAGTAGGACTGATGCCCATTCATTTACAGATTTTCTTCCCCAGATTTCACTTGGTGTGGACACCTTTGGTTTATACTCTAGCCACTCTCCTTTCACTCCCTCATGCCTGTAGAAGACTCTGCAACTAGAATATTGTATTTTTCCATATTTCTTTTCCAATGAGGAATTAAGCTTACATGAAACAACTTAACATGACTCATACAAACAGGTAATAACCTCTTCCAAATTCAAGTCAAACTCATCTATAAAATTCCTTAAATTTCAATGAGAACAGAAACCTCAAGATATTTAATTTTTATATAGATTTGTATTATATTTATTAATATAGTTTATGTTTATAAATGTTTTGTCTATGTATTTTTATTTAAAACCGATACATAGACAGCACAGTATTGAAAACAGAAGTTGTTTTATTCCCAATTGTTTTTTAACAGAGTTTTGTTTTGCCATTACTTGATGTTATGTTACGATTTTAGTATAACACTTGTTTGGATTATGTTTTTTAACCACAAGTAAGAAAATAATAAATATCTAGCAGTTGCTGTTCCTTTATACTCCATATATGAAATACATTTTCCACATGATTAAGTTAACAATAAAAACATCAACATTATTATGCAGGTTAAGCTATATCTCATGATGTATAAATGTATAAATATCACAGATTATTTTTGTATATTATAGAGAATCAGAGTACAGAGATCAGAGTATGACAGATTTCATAGAGAAGCACAAGGAGCACAGCTGTTTCTGGTCATGGATATAAGTTACTTTCAGAACATAACACTACTTTTCAGAACAATATCACTGCTCGTTTTATCCTGCTACATGCAGGTGTTTGTTTTTCTGAAATATACAGTGTGTATTTTGCATACTCTTTTTTTTTATTTGCATACTCATTTTGCACAGTAGTCTGATCTGGTTCAGGTTTAATTAACCACAAATTAATAGCATGAATTATGCATATATTAAATAGCTTTCACAACATACATGAAAAATAATTCCAAATGATGCCACAAGCATAAAACACTGTATCTAGCATCAGCTAATATATTATTGTCTATGGCAATGAAGCAGTTGAGAAATAAAACTAAACTTTTTGACAGTTTTAAACAACCAATTCAACATTATATTATACAAAGACAAATCATGTATTCTGTGTATTTCAGCGAGTCTGAGTTCTCCTCAGATTTTGCAAGATATTCAGTGGGACTACGCGATGTACAGTAGGGACTTTTAAAACCGATTTTGCACTTTACTGTGCGAAATTATACACTCTTTTATGACGTTAACGAGCTGCAAAAGAAAATAACTTTGGAGTGTCACTGTAAAGAACTACTCTTTTTCATGCACAGTACAAAGCGTGTGTTAATTCACGTTGTGTAATACTATAATGTGCATTTGAAAAACAGTCACCCTAGTAACAGCTCCTTGTACGTAACTCTGTTAGGTCTCTTTTGAGAAGAAGGGAACTAGCTACGTACGTTTGTCTCGATTGAATTCCTTTACCGAGAGACTTGATTTTTCCACTAGTAATTTATTCCAGTCGTTGCGAACGACAGAATGCTGAACAATATCTGAGCCCAGGATTTCACAGTAAATGCCTTGTTAGAATGAATTGCTCCTCGACCTTGGCATCTGTAGTTGAGTTTAAGTGTGTCGTTTGTTACTTTGTGCATATTCGTAGAAACTGTACGTGGGTATAGTAATATTATTGCCAATAATTCTAGTTTGTGATTAGAGGATAATATGATAGACACGAAATAATATCACAGAACAATTTTAGTACGCCAAAGACGCGGTAGAGAGTATAACAGTATAACAGTAAAGTACTACAGTAGTACTTTAAATGTTTATTTTTAATGTTGAGGCGTCTATTGACAAGCAACCTTGCTACCTGTCAAAAGGGACAGTGCCAGAATTTTAACTTTCCTAGGTGCAGAATTCGCTTACCTGTACCTATCAACAGGTGCCACTTTTACACTCACCTACTTTAAACTGCGAGGCTTGGTCGTCTGCTTCTTGGTGGTCTTTCACGAGCATCACGTGTAGAATGCCAAACGAGTTCTGAATTCCAAAGATTGACCCATTGCACCAAGTGGCGGCCAGGACCACCAGCCAGCCGAAACCACCTTCTGGAGGCACGAATTCGGGGTCGGGACCTGCGCTTGGTGATGCCGGAGTTTTTTCTTGGCATCCTGTCTCGATCAGCTGTGCGGCATCATGCTTCTCTTTGAGATGTGTCTCCTTTGCACCGGCAGCGTGGTGCTCAGGGTTAGCAATCTGCACTTCGCATTTCGTGGCCTCCGGCTGCGTGTCTACCACTCTTACCCCCGTCTTTTCATTTTCACTTGAATCGGGATTCCCATCTGTTTCTGTCACTGGCGCATTATTATTACTCTCTGTGCGCATCCTTCATACAATATGAACACTGCTTCAGGAACTGAGGTGTCGATTCTGTAAGTAACGAAAGGTAAAGTATTTAAAACTCGGTCTTCGCAAAGATACGTCTCCAATCACGAGATAAACATCAGCGAGTCCTTCAAAGCATCCACTTCAACCGGAAAAGTATCTAACGTTTCTAAAATCCAAGTAGTCAATTCAAAGCAGAAACCCATCGATATAAAAAGTGAAGCACAGTTAAGTCAGCGCTGTCTGCGAGAACACTAGTATCTTTATTCTATCATGTAAAGCTCTTTTGTGTAATTCAGGTGGGGAAAATATTAAAATCTCTTCCTGTGTTCTCGATACAATAAACGATTCCAACGTCTTCTCTACCATCGATAAGAGGAAATCTCTATCCACGCGGATTAAAAATTGTTCAACCTCCCCGATCCCACTGGAACAAATATAATCGCCGCCCCTTACAGCAGTTTAGAGTCAACTCCTCCTTATATCACTTGTTTTCAATACATCATGCATAGTAGCTACTATGTGTTCGCGATGACTTCGATCGGCTGATGAAACATCCGAATACCCAAACAGAAAAACAACCTTCATTCAACAGCCTATGTGCTCCCCCTCTCCCTCCACCTTTAAACTCCAGTAGGCTGTCCCAAAAGAACGAATTACAATCCCGGCAAAACGCTGGATAAAGGAATCAAACACAAGCGCCGCCCTAATCAGATCGTCACTCACTCCAGTGTTTTGACTAAGGAAACCGAAGTCTGCGCAGCAGCGAGAAGCTTCGAGGATACCGCAAGTGTGAATGAATGACGTGAACATTGTGTGCAGTGAATACCCCATCATCTTCTATTTTTAGCCGTTTTATCACTTTGAAATACACCATCTGCGCAGCAACATCAGGGACATTCTTACATTTCTGCCTTTGGTACGAATTAAGTGCATGCGGAATATAGAATAATTCGTTCTACTTGCTGCCAGAATTGTGCCGTTCGCGTGAAAAAGTAGGACAACACATTTCTGACCAATTTTGCACTGATAGTAGTGCGTTCTCAGAAATGTACCATAAGATAATTCATAGTATAAATTGGATTTTTTTTATTTATGTCGTTTGAGACATTTGAGTTAAGCAAAACTGTAATAATTCCTGAACCTATATAATTCCCCTGTGGCTTTAATTATTGCTAATAGAATTTTTGAGGTAAGACTACTCATTATTGACCTTCCTGGTACTTTCAACAGTTTTTATGAAGCCTGTAGATGCTTCTATTTACAAGGAACTTATTACGAACAACACATTCTAAAGTGGGTTTATGACTAATGCAAAGCTGATATAATCATATAAGACTATAATTGCTGGTATTTGCATTTTTCATAACAAAAGTTCCCAAGGCACTTTTTAGGGAGGGGAACCATTTCATCCTCCACTGTATTCTTGCACTAACCTGGGTGTTACTCAGCAGCCATTATGTGCCAGAAGCGCCACTATACTGTAGATACGGAAGTACTTTGGGATTAGACAAACTTTCGTCCGAAAAATAAACAAATGTAATCGCAGAATTCCCACACCTGTCAGAATCAGAACAGCTTCCGATTCTGCTAAGGGAGAGGAGAGGAAACTCAATAGATCTGGCAGCCCAGTATGTGATCCTCCTGTCAGCCTGAGGAACAGACTGAGTGTGTCTCACAAATGATACTTTACGTGATGTATGTATATATCGAATGATCAAATTTTTTACTGTAAATTTAGTGTTAATTGTACATGCTTTGACAACTCTTATTCACCAGTCATGCCAATAAAACCCTTTGAATTTAATAGAGATACAGTTTCTGTTAAATGTGCAGGATAGAATATTAACTGGCAAGGCTGTAGCAGTCTAGCATGCTCAGTGACAAAGACATCAGCTTTTTGATTTATATATTACGTTATATTGAACCTTTCACCCCAAAGCAGTCTCAAGGGACTTTATATAAATATACATATAAAAATGTACAGCAAGCAGAAAAAAGAGAATAAAATAAAAAATGTATACATATGAAATTAAAGAATTGGGTTAGAAAGAATGAAAGGCCATCAAAAACAAATAGGTTTTGAGGCAAGATTTAAAAACATCAGAAGAGGATGCATTGTAAATAAGGTCAGGAAGCACATTCCAAACCCCAGGGGCTACTACTGACAAGGCCCAGTCCCCAATGTACTGTATGATTTGAAGTCCTTGAAATGTTGAGAAGCCTACAGCCAGTGGAAGAAAGTGACTGAAGTGGGACATGTGGGGATAACAACTCTTGACATTAGATAGGTGACAGACTGTGCAGTGCCTGATAGATTTCAAGTCAATCCTATAAGAATCAGGTAGCCAGTGCAGGTCTTTCAGCAGAGGAGAAATATGTTTTTTTTTTTAGACTTGGCCAACACTTGACTAGCACATTTCTGGACATACTGTAACTTCTGAAGTAATATCTTGGACGGCCCAGCTAGCAAAGCATTGCTGGCTAAGGAGTTAAAAGCATGAACTAATTTCTCAGCATCAGTAAAAGAAAGAATTGGTCTTTAACTGGAAATGTTTTGTAAATGAAAGAAGGCTGTGCTGCAGATTTTGTGGACTCAGGATCTGAAAGATAGGGAAAAGTTAAAACAAATGACAGCTACGTTTTTTATAGGACCGGGATATTTTTTGTATACTCGCCATAGTGAGTTTTAGACTTATGAGAGGTAGGGTTTTGATCCTTAAAAGGATCATAAATAAATAGAGTTAGAAAATGAGAGGGAAAACAAAGAAAAAACAGAGAAGGATAGAAAAGGACGAGGCAGAGGAGATATGATGGCGATTTCTGGAGAAAGATTCATAAACGGCAAGTGAGGTTGGTTAGGAGAGGTGAAATGTAAAAATTAGATTTAATCCACTTTATATCAGCTGAATTTTGTCTAGAGAAAGGAAATAGAACTGAGGTAGGGTCAGCTGAGAGGTCAGAAAAATGTGAATAGATGAAAGAAGGGAAAGAGCAGAGGATATAGGGTTATAAAGAGACAGGAAGATTATGTTGAAATGGAAAGGTAAGAAAAGAAAGGAAGTTCAAAAAGTGACACGATAATCAGGTGTAAAGTGATCGACAAGGCAAAAGGAAAAGCCATCTCTGGAGAAGAGGTCCAACAGCCAACCCTCTCAGGGGAACATTTGAAAGGAGGAACAGTCAAGTAGAGAATGAAACTAGCTAGTATCTTGCATCAGAAAACTGAAAATCACCTAAAAGAGCCACAAATAGAAAACATAGTGTGAAGTGAAAGGAAGAGATCTGCTTCCTTTACAAAATGAGTGACTATCCAAGTTTCATTATGATTTTTGTCATTTATGAATGTATACTTTTTAGTGCTGTTGACATTAGATTTAATATCTATATGAATTCTGTGGTTAATGTATTTAAATCTTTACAATTCTAATTATTTAAAGTACATTCGTACCTCATGCAGTCCTAAGGGAGTTCTGCCATTTTGGCAGTGTAAACTCTGCTAAACTGGACCATCAGAACATATAAACACACAATGCCAAAGCTACGCAAATTTATCATTGAACTTTAACCTGTAAGTCTCATTTTGCATGAAATGAAGGAGAAAACATTTTTGTTTCACAAACATATCAAATCCTGCACAGATCGCACATGTGGCACCCATCCAAGCTCATCAAGCTCACCCATCAACTCAGATGTATTTATCATTGATGACTGGAACGTAATTTAGAATCACAGCTCTTTGTCCCTCACTAAACTGAATAAACAATAATGAGGAATGTGGGGAAAATGTTAGCAAAAAGTCCAAACTTGGAATTGTGCTGATTTCATTCATACCACAAGGAAATCTTGAAATTCTGACAGATGTGGGTTGCCTGTAATGGGGAAAAACAGAGAACAAGAAACAAGATGGAATAACTGTCTTTTTTCACCATCACTGCATATAGCTCATGCATCCTATTAAACCAGGTATAACTGTTGTGTTTTGGTTTGTAATTATTAATGAATTTGAATTGGCATCCTGTCCAGGGTGTATCCTGCCTTGCGTCCGTTGCTTCTCCAGCTCCCCTGTGATCCTGAATTGGATGAAGTGGTTAGAAAATGGATGGATGCATCACCACACTGTTCCTTAAGATGTATTCTCTATGCTTTCAGGTTCCACTTTAGTTCTGAGTATTGCATAATTCTGTGTTCTGGAGTTCAATATTCAATAGTTGGTAACCATTTGGATATGGCTCAAGCCCTACAATCATTCCCACTCCTGAGAAATGTCAGTAAAATGTTTAGTTTCAGACCAATAAATTATTCAAAATTCCTACCCATAATAACACAGTGTTGTGCAAAAGTTACAAGGACAAGTGAAACTTTAAATATCCAGTGTTTATACCATATGGAAAAAAATATATTTAAGTGAAGATTATGAGTCACCAATGAGTAAGGTTCAGAAAAAAAATAAACAAAATGCTTAATTTGTCACAAAATGAAAGCTTGAGAGCATCCAAATGAGAATTAAAATACATGTATGGACATGTTCGACAAATAGTTTGGGAAATGAGGAGATAAAATAGGTATTAAAGCTTGATGTCTTAGTTTTTTAGGAATACTAAGATCGTTCTCTCCTAGTTTGTTGATTGATTGTTAAAACAGATAGATTGATTCCCATTCACCTTTGGGCATGCATGACAATGCAGGAAAATAAATTTAGTTCTGAGTTGTATTCTTGTTTTGGGATGCAGGGTTTGTTCTTCTTTTTGGCCTTGAAGGGACAAGTGAGACAATGGTGTTATTTCTGTATTTTTACAAACGATGCAGTCTTGTGTGTTCTAATGTTGGCTTTATGCCCGGAATGTAAATGGAACTTAACGGAACTTTAATGGAACTTGTTAAAGCCAAGAGATATGATCTAAGATATAAAATGCTTATTCTGCATGTTTATTATAAACTTTTCACTCAGACATTTATACAGGGAAATTATGCTTATTTGTACATTTGAGCAGTTTGGTGTGTATCACTAGGTAAGCTCATTGAGACAGTTACAGTATATGGGTGGTGCACTAAACAGTTTGCTTCACTAATCTTTGCCTGAACTTTATGTGATGTATATCCATAAATAGACATACGTCTGTATTACTAACTATTAGGTGGAGTGTCACTTTAGCCTGTTTGTTCCATGGTATAAAAGATAATATTAAGTTACTTTTTTTTAGTTCGGTGGTTGCAAGCCGTTCTCCCATATGCAAATGAAATAAAGAGACGTCTACTACACAGACACCTGGACTCTGTCATTTGTATGACACAACAGACTGTTTAAACATTGTATGGTGTTTTCAGATTACAGGAGTAAAATTCTGTTTCTGGATTTATAGGACATACTGTACATATAGGCTATACACAGCATATGTTATACTGTAGTTTAATGTTTTGTGTTACCTGATGTTTTATTTGTGTTATTTTATTGTTAATAAGTATGTGTCCTGTCTATCAAGTTTTCACCAAGATTTATTATGCTTTTACCAGCTTTTTGCCTATTTTCCTTACTTCCCCAGTTTGTAAGAATTAGTGCCAGTTTCTGATTCAAC